GAAGCATGCCGAACGACCGGATTTGTGTCTCCGGCGCCGCGGCTATAAATACCCGCGACAGCTACAGTGTGAGGGACTTTTGGACGATCAATAGGTTGTTGTTAGAGATTCCCGACCGCAGCCAGTCGGTACTCAGAGCAACCGAGTAGATTGTACTTAGGGCCTTCACCGTGATCAATAAAAGACATTTATTTGCTTTAATTGGTCTCGTATTTATTTAATTACTGCGTACGTGGCAATTAGCAGTATCAGAAAGCAATAGCTCAAAACACAAGTCTATAAAATTTAGTTAAAAAATTTACTCAAAACATCACCGACCACAGGAGTTCTCGCACTAACATAAAACTAACTCGGAGTTTTGAAGATTGCTTGGGGCAAATTATGTTGTGAACACGTGCCTACAAGGTGGGCACAGTTCCATATCCATAATTTCAATACTTTAGATTCATAATTTCTATATTGTAGATCCATAATTTCTATACTGTAGATTTATAAAATTTATACTTTAGATTCCAATTGTTGAACTATGTTTTCACAAATCAGAGAACTATATGTTCATAATTTGATAACTATACAGTTTATAAATTATGAATTTTAAGTATAGAAATTATGAATTTACTGTATAGAAATTATGAATCTACTGTATTTAAATTATGAATCTACGGTTTAGAAATTATGAATCTAAAGTATAAATTTTATGAATCTACAGTATAGAAATTATAAATCTACAGTATAGAAATTATGGATCTACAGTATAGAAATTATGAATATAGAACCGTGTCCACCTTGCAAGGTAGACACCTGCTCACAGCATAACATTCCCTTGCTTGGAGGGGACAAATACTTTGATATTTTGGTGAGGTTTTGAAAGCTTAAACTTTTGTTTGGAGGGGAGATGCTTTGGTGAAGGGGGCCAAACAAAAAAATAATATACTAGTAGTAAATTTTTTACTTGGCCCCTTGCAATTCACATATACCTCCGTCCCTCTGCGTGCATACACAGAAATAGTGATGCGGCACGTCCACACTGTGACCAACATACCTACCGTCTATCATATATAGCAGTGGATACCTATATCATTGACCCATTTGGCCGACATATCATGATTAGTTGTGGAAATCTAACATTCAATAGGAGAGTGTGTTACTCTCATACTTGATGTGAAATCTAATATCATGGATGCTGTTCGGATCTCCATACGTTGGATCAGATAATTGGGAATATAATGTTAATAACGATTGATGATTCGATCCATGTGGTATTACTCCTTGGGTTACCAGGATGAATTCACCACACCACGATGTATTATCTTGTCCCAAATCCCAATTCAATGTAACAATTAGTGCCATGCATAATCAAATAGCTATAAACGCAATAACCTTTTAATATGTTAGAAAGCAGCAAATGATGATTTTTGAAACTTTACCAGAAAATAATGGTGGCATAGAGATCGAAGTAATTAGATAACAATCTACTTTTGTGCCAGATAATATGTCATGAAGGCCCTGAAAAGTTACACTCTGATGCGGCACATCAAGGTCCTGAGGAATTACACCATGTGATGTAGAACATGTACATTAAATTGGGTAATGTTTTACTGAATTTTGACACCAGAGGGGTAAACTCCAATGAAAATATGTTGCAAATTGCTAAGTACACAAGGGGTGAAAGGTATAAATCTAAATTTAATTTTCAGTTTAGTTCTGAATAATTATAGTAAAGTATGAATCCCCCTATGCAAATATAAAGGAATCATCAATCGTTAGTTATCTTTTCAATGGTTCTTTAGGTTATTCGATCAGTATGATGCACCTATGAGGGTGTAATGGCAATACAAAATAAGCTAAATAGATATATAGTTAATCCCTTTGCAATGTAATTGAGTGGGAATACCAACAGTTGATACTCTATGGATGGGTTGAATGGCTTAACACATAATACAATTAGCGTATCAACTACAAGATGGTAAGGTAGTGTATATTTTGGGTGTGGTGAGTTATATCGTATCTAGAACAACTAACGATATTTTCAGCTGAATAGAAAACGTTGATCGAGGCATCATTTCGACAAGGTAACCATGGACAAACTAATGGCAATAGATATTTCGTATTTACATGAGCTTATCATTGACGTTGGTCACTCAATTACACTATCTCAGGATAAATTACACTCTCATCAAGTAATACCACCGATCAAATTGATCATCCCCAAGTCCTGTCCAGCACAGTAGCCCATGCAATTAATTAAGCCATATTTTGCTTATACTATGATCGAGTTTTTTGCACTTTTAGTCTCACGACTATAGTGGCACTGGCAGAATTGATCCACGACTTTTGAACCTTGCAATTTTAGTCCACGACTATTGATTTTTTTGTAAAAATGGTCCTTGCGGCCACTTTTCCGTCAAAAATTCACCGGAAAAAAAAAATTCTCTATTTTTAGCCGGGTTAAAATTGACATTTTACTTATCTCAAAAGATTAAAAGAAAAAAATTGATATTTGACTACATACAATATTACTGGGCTACATACTACTTTCCCAGGCGGCGGAGTACATGTACAACTTCAATGCTGCTGCCGGATAACCCAACTAGTTAGGGGAACGCCACGGCCGCTCCGCCGCTTACTGACAGTCCTGCCTGCTCCAGGAACTCCGCCGCCTGGGGCAGTAGTATGTAGCCCAGTAATATTGTATGTAGTCAAATATCAATTCTTTTCTTTTAATTTTTTCAGATAAGTAAAATGTCAATTTTAACCCGGCTAAAAATGGAGAATTTTTTTTCCGGTGAAATTTTTGACGAAAAAGTGACGAAGGACCATTTTTGTAAAAAAATCAATAGTCGTGGACTAAAATTGCAAGGTTCAAAAATCGTGGATAATTCTGCCGGTGCCACTATAGTCGTAGGACTAAAAGTACAAAAAACTCTACTATGATCAAACATATATCCGAAATTGCCAATTATGCGGTGAATATCACATGACAAACCAATAAGTATTTGCCGGGACCGTGTAATTGGGTATAGACTCCTATTGTTGCCGATGAATCAATTAAGTTGGAATTATTGTGTAGTGATTCAACTGAATGTTCGGTTAATTTGCAAACGACGTTATTGGTGCCATTTTTGCGTTTGTGCCTTAGCTTGTATATCATATTGGTGCCTATAGTGTCGTCATTTGCATTAGAAGAGGCACCTTCAGTATTATATATACTTTTAATAACTTGTACCGCATTAAACTATTGACTTTTATTTATTTGCACAATTATATACCAAATCAACACTAGGCTAGCTTTTTAATTTCATTCTTTGTATGCTTGAATTGAAATTATCTCATACGTGAATCTCGTCAAATAATAACCGTATTTAGTACTCCCCGGTTGTATAGAGAACTACAATAACTTACAATACAATTAATAAAATATAAAATTTAAGGCAAATTAATGAAATGTAATTAGCTCAACAACTGTGAAACATCTACCGGCCATGTAATCCATCACGGTTGATTGAATCAATTTGATTATCTTTCTTCATTCCAACATATCTTTTGGTCTCTTACGTATATTCACATAAGAAAAACTAAAATAAATATTTATAATATATCTATTTACCAATGTTTCAATGATATTCGTAATTTCATCACATATTGGATTTCCAATAGAATTAAAGCAGTAAATTTCATCCCAAGGACAAATATAATCACCATACCAACAACGTAACAGATCAGATCGAGGATGCGCATGAACATTTTGTAGCTATATGGAATGGTTTTTTCTCGTGCTTTAATTTAGACTTGAGGCATGAAGAGACACTTATAGGACTTTTTGATGAAACAAAAGCAGTATCAGAACATCATCTTTGAAACTCACTTTTTACTATAATGCTCCAATAAGCTATTACTAATCTTTCACTTGATTTATAGATAAGCTAATCATGTAGCTCACTAGGTCTCGTAAATTCGTAATACAACTTGAGAACCAGAAAAACAAAATTAAAGAAATGCTTGATCACAAACTTTCACAATCATTATTCGCATAATGATTACAATAATTTAAATTATTTTGTAACTGATCAAGAATTCATTATATTAAGAGAAAAGGGTCAAATAGACCCCTAAACATTTCACAAAAAAGTCAATTAGGCCCATGAACTTTTTAAAAGTGCAATTGAACACATGAACTCACGATTTTGAGTCATCTGACCCCATTAGCAGGTTACCACTTAGCTAGGTGTCGGTAAATGCCTCTGTGGCTTGCTACATAAGCTGTGTTTTGATTATTTGGCTTGCCACATAAGCATAAATAAAAAAAAATAAATTAAAGAGAATTCCTGGCTTCCTGCTACCTCCGCTCATCATGTACCAAAAGGAGGAAGAAGAACCTTAAGCAGTAATATCTAATCTAACATGGATGAAAATTATAGTTTTTACTGAACCGTACATAAATGTCAAGTTTGTAATTTCGCAAAGCAAAGATCCTTTGTCTTCGCTTTCACCTGTTCTACTAACAAGATATGTACATAAATGCCAAAAAATCACAAAAATTGAAAAGATGATTATTGCTCGGGAACGATATGAATCAGCGCCGAAGTCTGATTCGGGGTCGCCCAAGAAATTGGGCTAAGGGCATCAGAACAATCAGCAGTCTTCTTCGAATTCCAGAAGCAGGGCCAAACTGGAAGCCGATCTAACCAGCGTTCTTAGAACCCTATCCATCACCTGCCCTCGCCTCGGCGGGAGCATCCGAGTCAATCTGCTTTGGGTTTATTGCTGCCGGTACTCCATCTCTCAGATTCTGGCAGTGGTGGACGGTGCAGTGAGATGGTGGTGCGATTCAAGTTGGGCAAATTTTTTTAATCCAAAAAAATTAGATCCATTACTCAAATGAAAATAAGAATAAGCCTGTTATGTCTCTGTTTCTTCACCATCTTCTTATTGATCATGAAGGTCTTGTACGACGGCATTTTCAAAGCAGGAGCTTGGCGAGGCAGAGTTATGAGGGAGACAATGGCTTCACTTATTTTATTTTCTTTAATTTAATTTTTTTATTTATGCTTATGTGGCGAGCCAAATAATCAAAACACAGCTTATGTGACAAGCCACGGAGGCATTTACCGACACCTAACTGAGTGGTAACCTGCTAATGGAGTAAGACGACTCAAAATCGTGAGTTCATGTGTTCAATTGCACTTTTAAAAAGTTCATGGGCCTAATTGACTTTTTGTGAAATGTCTAGGGACCTATTTGACCATTTTCTCTTATATTAATAAATATGATATTTACAACTTCTGGAAACATATTACGATGTCCCATTACTGATCAACTCAGGAAAATTTTCAATAAACCTTTTGGACTTAACTCCTGAGAAGTTAATTCACGACAAGTAAACTCACGGGAAGTTAATTCACGAGAAGTCAACTCAGTAGAAGTAAATTCAAGAGAAGTAATTAATCTGTTTAACTTCTCTCAATTTCTCTAAATCATCCAACTTCTCTCAACTTATCTAAAACATGAAAATTTTGCAACATTCTTGATTAATCAAAACATTCAATTCCTATCAAACATAAATAATATTTTCAACTTCAATTAACAACACTAATATAAAATATTATTTATGCTTGCGGTAGACATGTCTGAATTAATATATTTAACATTTACTATATAAATATCCAACATTAACTATCAACTTAGACTTTTAGTTATGATAAAACACATTTAATTTGATATCAGAATTAGTCCCAAATCTTCATGCCATCCCATAAAAACATACTACGTTCCACGTGTTAGTTTGACCTGATCAACTATGAGCAATATAGGCTGATTTACATTCTTTTGATCATTTTCTGGCTAGAGTCACAGAACGAGATTTATGTAATGCACACCTTCAAATAGTGACTGGAGGTTTCGCCACTCAAAAAAAACATTAAAACAAAAGTAGAGCAAATAAAATTGAGTGGATGGGATCAATGAATTGAAGTAACATATTAGAACAATATTATATTTAGAATTATAATAGTTATAGTAAGAATGAGTCTTTGCATAACAGAACTCCAGTTCAATCTTAAATTATTACAGCTTATGGTAGTTCTTTATTGAGTGAATTCCATTTTTGGTTCTTCTGTTATAGGGGTGTTTCCAATTTTAGTCCACTTTAATTTTTTTTGCCACTTTATAACCACTATTATTGAATGTGTTTCACTTTTAGTCCCACCGTTAGTATTTTCATCAAGAGGCCGTGTAATCTAGGGGTATTTTGACCTTTCTTCTCATCCAAGACTATGTTTGACTAAAGAAATGAGAACATTAAACCTAAAACCTAAGAAACCTCGCCGGCCCATGTTGGAACGAACGAAACGATGTAGCTTTGGCTTCCCATTCTCGTTGTTCGAAGAGCCATCTTCGAATATCAGAGGAGGAGGACGAAGCGCCTGGATTAAAAGAGAGGAGACAAACATAAAAAGACCAAAATACCCTTTGATTATACGACCTCTTGACGGAAATATTAACGGTGGACTAAAAGTGGAACACATTCAATAACAGTGGTTGTAAAATGACAAAAAAAAATTAAAGGACACTGAAATTGAAAACGCCGCTATAACAATAGGACCAAAAATGGAATTCACTCTTCTTTATTATTTTATAAAAACGAAATCGCAGTTTAGCATTGAAATTAAAGTTGGGCAAGATAAAGGAGATGCATGCCACATGTCTTCATGATAGGTTTCAATTGGTTGGTATTTTAGTTGCATCCTTGCGGCGGCACGTCCACGGCTGGCGAACAGTTAAAGAACTCGTGTGGCTGTAGCACCCAAAAATATCTAATTAGAATCTTGTTGCTATAAGTTTAAATTAAGCTTGTATATGTTCTTCCCTTATAATAAAAAAAATAAATAAAAAAATTAAGCTTGTGTTGGACGGAGGCCCGTGAAACGCCAAGTCCAGCACTAGGTGATTAGGAAATTATTGATTGATTGTTATATCATGGATGAGAGTTCATCTTACATTGTGAATCCTGATACATAACATTTTCTGTAATAAATGTAAATAAATAACTTGATAATTACCAACACATAATATGATAGCTATATATACAGAAACTATCAACTGCAGGTATAAAATGTGTCAACTTTGAGATAAGAATTTGACTTGATAATTGTGTGATCAAACCCTCTGGGTATTTTTCATAAAATATAAGTGTTAGGTGTAAAATTCTAAGGGTAAATTAGTCCTAGAAAGTAGTGAAACTACCAACAATTACTATAAGTTACCACATATTCTATGTGTAATACCTCCACCATAAATGACTATGAAGTTTGGCACAAAAAAATTGGGACTCATAAATCAACAAGATATGGAGAAGTAGTTTATAAAATTGAGAGCAGTTTGTAGCATACCATAACATACTTAAGTGGATTGTATGGCCCATGTTACGAGGGGAACATACAGAGAATACATCCAGTACTGGTGCAAAAAGGTGACTCAAAGGATTTGCTTTATCAATGGGACTACAGTCTGTCCTTAAGGTTTTCATTTACATGTATTGATCAAAAAAGAGTCTGAGGCAATTGGTGTTGCAACGTTTCCAAGGCAAAAGGGATTCTGTGTCATGAGGGTTTCTTGATCATCAATTTCTAGCAGTATCTTGAACAGTGTCGACAGATACCGGGAGGTCATTGTTGAAAATCAGCGATTTTCCGACCACCGAAAAGTGGTCGAAATCGCCAAAAACCGATCGGAAACCAGTGTTCCGACTAACTTTCCGACCAAAAGTGGGATTCGGAAAAACCCTTGTCGGTACTTCCGACCACTCGATGCAGTGGTCGGAAATACCATCCACGAATATAGTGGCGTCGGAAAAGTTCGTATTGTGAATGTATGTGTCATTGTACTTAAATATGCTAAGTAAATTGATCTTGATTTAATTTGTGGTTGGTGCCCCGTGGATTCAACCACGTTAACATCTTGGTGTCATTCTGCATTTTATTTTGTCTTCTGCTTATCTGATGTATATCTAAGAAATTGATAACAAGACTCCAGTCTCACATTAATCCTGTCCAAATAAGTTAATTAATCTGCCAGTCCATTGTTTCTGAGTATATTCTATTTTTTCAACTCTGTTATTCCTGAGTTAGTTTAAACAGATGAGAATATATTTTCTGTATTCAATAATGATGTCTGGGAGTACAGGGAGCGAATATATAGAGATGCTAGATATAATCTTAGTCTAACACGAATAATATAGTCCTAGTCTAATATGGATAATATAGTCCTAGTCTAATATGGATAATAGAGTCCTAATACTCCCCCTCAAGCACAAGGTTGGTCAGCCAAAACATTGAGCTTGCAACGGAGTAAATTAAAACGTACAGACGAAAGAGACTTAGTAAAAATATCCGATATCTGATCTTTGGTAGAAATAAAATTGACTTGTAATTCCTTCTTCGCGACTTTATCACGAACAAAGTGGTAGTCGATCTCAATGTGCTTGGTGCGAGCATGAAACACCGGATTAGCACACAGATAAGTAGCTCTCAGATTGTCACACCAGAGTTTGGGCATAGAAGGTGGCGCAAACCCGATTTCCTTCATCAGAGAGACGAGCCAAGTAACCTCTGCAAAGACATTAGCCAGTCCTTTTTATTCAGCCTCAGTTGATGAACGAGCCACAGTACGTTGTTTTCGACAAACCCATGAGACAAGATTGGTCCCCAAAAATACAGCAAAACCACTAGTAGATTTGCGATCATCAGGATTGCCAGCCCAATCCGAATCAGAATATGCATGAATATCTAGAAAAGGAGAAGACGTAATCTTAAGACCAAGATGTAGTGTCCCATTTACATACCGTAACACCCTCTTGAGAGCCGCCCAATCCGCAGTAGAGGGAGAGTGCATGTGCTGACACAAACAATTGACTGCATAGGAAAGATCAGGCCGAGTTACCGTAAGATATTGCAGAGCACCTGCAAAGCTACGATACTGAGTGGGATCAGCGTATGGTACCACGGCATCAGTCTCGGCCTTCGTGGTTGAAACCGGAGTAGCCACGAGCTTGCAATCAACCATACCTGCTCGTTTTAGAATATCCTTCATGTACCATTGTTGAGACAGAAGCATGTCATCAGACAACGGAACGGTCTCAATACCCAAAAAGAACAAGGGCGCACCCATATCACGAACTTTAAACTCAAGAGCCAACTTGTCAATAAGAGCAGTCACATGAGCCGGATCAGATCCCATAACCAAAATATCATCCACATAAACCAGAAAATATAGACGAGTATTGCCATGTGAATATATAAATAGAGAGACATCCGTTTTGGAAGGTGAGAAACCAGCAGAAACCAGAAAATCATGCAAACGAGTGAACCAAGCACGGGGAGCTTGCTTAAGCCCATATAAAGAACGTTGAAGGAGACAAACGTGCCCGGGCATCGTTTTGTCTTCATAGCCAGGGGGCTGGCGCATATAAACCGTCTCAGCGAGATTGCCATTTAGAAAAGCATTGTGTATATCCAACTGTCGAATAGTCCATCCACGAGAAATAGCTAAGGATAAAAGAAGACGTACCGTAGTTTGCTTAACCACGGGACTAAAGGTCTCAAAGAAATCCTCACCAGCAACCTGATTGAATCCCTTGGCAACCAAACGAGCCTTGTAACGTTCAATCGAACCATCAGCTTTCCTCTTGGTTCTAAACACCCACTTACAGCCAACCACATTCATACCCGATTTAAAAGGAACAAGCCTCCATGTATTGTTGTGCACCAAGGCATTAAATTCCAAATCCATTGCATCCCGCCATTCAGGAAATTTGACCGCTTGAGTAAAACATGTAGGCTCAGTAGTGATGTCAGTAGATAGAGCAACATGACCATGAGGTCCTGAGCTCAGCATATTAATCGTATGAGACCGAACGGGCGAGGGCGCGGGACGGGATCGACCACGGGGTCGACCCCTCGGCCGAGTAGGCGGCTGGTCCGTGACTGTCCGCTCAGACTCGGTCACGGGCTTGGTAGTAGCAGGCTGCTGGAAGTGGTGGTCAGAAGCGGCTATGGGCGCGGCAGGAGGGTCACGAGCCGTGACAATAGTCGGATCACCACCAGAAAAAATTGGTGCAACACCCCATGGCTCCGGGCGTGGTTTTGGAACCTGCGAATCCACAGAGGCAATAAAAGGAAAGACAGCCTCATCGAATCGCACATAGCGACAGATAAAAACCTTGTTAGTGTTAGTGTCTAAACAACGATAGCCACGAAAAGATGGAGGATATCCTAGAAAGACACAAGGGGATGA